TTGTGGGGCCTGGTAGTGTTCGGGGGGCCATATTCGGCTTTGTGTGGAAGGGGCTTAAACTACTGACTGCTCTGGCAAATCATTCAACATATTCGGCTATAATCGCTACAATTTCTTATCCTCTAAATATGTCTTAACGAGTTACAAATGTTGAACACTGTCACCTGTAGATCGCCGTCTGAGATGAGTGCCACGTCTGCTGAAGTCATGATGCCGCACGGTTCTCAGCCAGTCCTCGGAGGCCGACCGACCCGGCTGCCCGGCAGTCAGGCGCCCGGTCTGCTCTCACATCTGCACCGCTCAGCCTTCGTCTCGGAGTATCCTCACCACACTAGGACGTTTCTCAGGAGGATTGGGTATTATATCATATGCCCCCCACGCGTTTTTACATGATTATGTTCAGTAGTAGCCGGATGCTCTTGACGACAATGAAGGACTCTCCCACTATCTTGTGGGGGAGGGGGGTGTTTCTGACAGGGTGCCCACCTGTTGAGTCAGTGTGGCTAGGGCACGAGTGTTTGTTTACTGAACCAATATAAACACAAATTTTCACGCTTATATTTATAGATTTGACCGACGAGTCAACTCAGCGAGAATTGGGCTATTTGGTGTCTAATTTCAATGCCTAAAATAGCTACTTGACAAGTGGTAAGGTCTAAATTATGGAAATGTGGATATTTTGACGTGTAACAGTCCAACCGGTTCAGACATAGCCTGGGTGCCATCCGAATTTGTAACGGCTCCCCCGAAAAAATCTTTTCGGGGGAGCCGTTACAAATTCGGATGGCACCCAGGCTAGTTCAGACACATGGGATAGTCGCAATTTCGGGAAGACCAAACCTGAAGTATTCTCAGTAACCGAGGCTAAAGGTAATCTGTATGGTATTGACACATACATTGATACATTAGCACATTTGAATAAGTATTTCATACTTTGGGAATTAAAAACAGCGCAGAAACGCGCCCCAGAAAGAGCCCAAGAAAAAATGAGCCCAAGATACTGTATACTAGTAACCGTTTTCCGTCACATTTTCGGCATTTTTGCTCCATGAATGTCGATATACATTGGGATAGTGTTGTTTCAACTACTCAGCATGTAGAGAACAGACTGAAATACTTTGAAAAACCTGGTTTTCAAGTCCTAAAAACTACATTGTGTACCTTTGATATGCATTCTTGAAAAACATTGCCGCAGACAATCGGGGGGGGGGGTAATAGTCTACGATACTACCTACCCACGCGCGCATGAATTTTTGTCTGTTTCCAAAAGGTTTTTGGCTATACTATAAATCGTACAAAGCAGTTGCAAGACAAGCAACTATATGCCGTAATTTGGAAAAAAATGGAGAACGATGCTAATGTCGTAGGAGGCCAAAACCAGAAAACGTACGAACTATGTACTATAACAGATATTGTTGTGTGTTTTGTATTGCAAGCCACGTTGGTTTAAAATCCTACGCATATAAAAGTCATCGTGCATGATTTATAGAGATCAAACAAGAATTGCCAATTGGCCTAGAAAAGACATTTTAATCTGATTTTTGATAGTGAATTGAAAACAACCAAAAATGGGTTTGCTTAAAGGATAAGAGGCGTTAAGAGAAAGATGATTTAGGTCACACTTTACTGTCCACTCTAATCTTATTAATCGTACATGCACGGGTACACAGTTTACAGTACACGTGTAGCCTGTCCGAGTCAACAGCAGAGGCTTCAGACGTGGTACACCTACGCTAAGTAATGATGTCAGTAGGCTGTTAACAAGCTTTTCAAGACCCAATTTCTAATCCCTACATTTTACTATATTTACAATACAAATCCACATCTTCAATTACTCATCCATTCTATATGGGTTTATTTGTTTATTGGGATTTTCTACAAAGTTAAGGTTTATTGGGATTTTTCTTCAAAGTGAAAGGGAGGGAAAAACAGGATCCATAGAGTGTCCGAGGTGTGTTTGGGTGGGGCAAATCTTACTCAAATTTAACTCAAATTCACTTCTTATCGAAGGATGGGCGTGGACTTAATCTGGTCAGACTGAGCTTCGAGGGAAGGTTCTGAATGTGTAACAGGTGCTTAACGGAACTAGAATATGTATCTTATTATTTTCCGTTCAGTGGAATAGGGACCAGTTCACACCCATACATAACGGAGAAGTGATTAAAATATAGATTTAAATTGTAGTAGTGAATATATTATAGTAGTGAGTATAACTTTGCTTCCGATCTTTCTTCAGGAAAGGTCAACGACTAGTTTTGAGTCCAAACTGCAGTTTAATTTCCTTTGGGGACTAAGAACTAAATGGCGATGTTCTGTCTGAATGACACAGCCATACCACGAGTCACGACTCACGCAGTTTCCTGCATCTAATAATCGTAATAAGGTCCCTATAGAGAAGATCTAGACACTTGTGTCTCTTAGAAAACGGAGTTTAATTCCAGCTCTTGGGAACTCATGTTCTAATTCCTACGTTGTAATTTTCACAATTTGACCTTCCAGGTTTAAAAAAAACAGCTATAGAAGCTATAGTGACCGATGAAAACAATACCGTACAATACTCTAGACACCCATGTCGAGTCACGATAATCACCCCTTTTCGGAACACATTCGCCTTGAGGGAAAATGGTGGTTACAGCTTTCGTCGTTGGTGACTTTAAAGATTTTAATTCTTGAATCAATTACCTCCTCCCCTTATTCAAGCAGCATGGCATGCGAGCAAACATTGTCTTTCAACCACTCCCGAAAATTATTCAAATTACTTCATTGACCAGATGAACTTTCATGACAGCACTTCAGTTTCTGTATCTTTACTGTGTTAGGTCTTCATACGGACCTATCATATGCTTTGCTAAATCTGTTTCGTTCTTTCGTTCTGTTTCATCATTTAAAATGTGGTCTCTGTATGTGATCCTTAGAATCTTCAAAGGCAAACAAAGTTGACAACATGTTTTTATAAAATGGTATTATTTCCATCACAGAAATAAACAAAACAATGAAAAGGCTTTTCACAAAAAATAAAAACAGTATTAGTAAAGCTGTAGCCTTGGCTACCATGAACCACTGTACAGTCTGTATTTTTACAATGATTATAATATCTTATTATTTTCCATAATCGCTTTCACACAAAAATTACTTATTAGGGGCATGATATGTATAAATATTAACCTCGTAAAAACAACCATTTTATGATTGTATTTTAAAAGGAATCACACTGTTATTGTGATATCAAATTTATAATAGCAGCAACTTCATACAAAACTACTCACATTCTATCACATAAATGAAATCCTACTGTTATCCATTAGAAATTTGCTCGTAAGTATTTACAATCTAAATATTATACCACAGGTCAGGATAATATTTACATCCAACAAAGGTGGCCTCTTTGCAATAACACAATAAGTACTCCATAAGAAACAAGCAATAAAAAATTACAAACTACAAACAGTATATCCATTATGCAAAAGTTTACTACGCCAAAATGGATCATTATGCAACAATAGCAAAATAAGCCTTATTACAAAATAGAGAAGCTCCTTACATCTACCGAACCTACATCTCAAACCTGGCAAAGTTGAGCCATTGCAGCCTAAACCAGAGTACAGGAAGAGGTGTAACGTCTGTTTGTTTGTTTTTGGCACGTAACTTCTTACAGTACTAGTTTTGTCTCGATGTTGTCTAACTCCAAGTGTCATGGTATGCCCTTCTTTGTCTCCAATATTTGGAGACGACTCTTTGTCATGGTTATAAAAGGAAGACATTGTGTTCTACCAGCCTGAATTTTTCTGTCATCTCAATTGTGTTGTGTTATGACAACCTTAGGTGCGTCCGGGGAAATTTTGAAATCGATCTTGATTCTCTGAAATTCTATTTCCAGAATTTTGAGGGGCAAATTTTACTGGTAGACTCTCTATTTTTCTTACACATTCTTTAACCACTTTTGTCCTGTAAAGACGACATATTAGGTAAAATTTTTGTCGGTGATATGACCAGCGAAATTCCAACCCTGGGGCTGTTTGCTCCATCTGAGGCCCTTAGCTGATGAGGTTTCTTGCATACCCTTCAAATCTTGAAGCAAATTGAGATTTTCAAATGACGTTTGTGGGTGGATTTTCCTCACGCGTACTGTTTCATGTAGATGTCCTGTATGTCCTTCTGTGTTTCCTGCTGCGTCCGTTTCAAGTCCTCCTTAATCTGACCCCTCAGTTCTGCCAGCTCCTTCTGCCCGGGCTTGTCTGGTTCGTACGACAACAAGTCTGCGACCTGTGGTGCATCCGTGGCAGGCATTTTGGACACTGAGTCCAGAAGCTCCTGAGTCTCCTGCGAGACCTGCAGGTCATCAGAAGAATACTGGGAGCCGCTGTCAATCCTGCTGATGCTCCTCGTCTTCCTGCTTTCTCCGTCCAGAGACTCGGAAAACACCGAACTCTTCACCGAGCTTCTTTCGTCATCTTGCATCAACTGTTCATCATCATCATCAGATTCATTCCCTTCATCCCCTGACGCCGCCTGTCCGACAACCGTTTTAGCGATCATGGAGGCCACTTTGTTCAACTGTTCCTCAGTAGCCGACCCTGGTCTCTCACCTTTGAAGGTCGTGTACCTCAAGGTCGGAGACTCGGACCTCTCCTCGTCACTATCATCGTCTTCATCTTCGACGTCTAATGTTTCGCGAAGGGTTGTGTGGGATGGGACGGAGGTGTCAACGGTGGTGTGGTCACAGTTGGAGTACGTATCGGACTCTGTTTCTCCTGCAGTTGGTATAACGATGGAGTCTAACGTTAGGGTTGGTCTTCTGGAGCTGTCCATCCCAGCCTCCGGGGTTTGAACCCTGTCCTCTGCCTTCTGCGCATCACCCTCGTCAGCGAGAGCAGACGACAGCAGGATCGAGGGAGTCACCGAGCCAACACGGTCTGGCGAGTTGGACGGAGCAGGAGGGGATGGCGTATGTCGTGACGGTGGCCTTTGGTCAGGCGTGCCTGTGCGCGAAGGCAAGTCCTCCACAAACCTAACATGCTGCTGCCCCTGGGACGACTTACTCTTTGCTGTGGATCCTCGACTTGGCACGAATTGTTCCTGCTCGAATACCTCATACTCCGCACCTGGCTCCTGGCTGTGGAAAACATTGGTGGACGTTGAGAAAGGGCGGACGGGATTGCCGACCGCTCCCATGGCTTCTCTTACCGTGGCGCTGTACCTGTACAGCGTGCTGTAGCTGCCCGAGTCAACATGTTGCAAGCCCAGCGGCCCGACCGGTGCTGTCAGCGGCTGCGCAATCTGGATATAGTTCAGGTCTCCCTGGATACCGTGCACACTTATACTGGCAACACCATTCCTGTACAATGGCTTGGACGGCATTGGCTTAACTGTGCCCACAAACCCAACCCTGGGGCTGTTAGCCGGGGTGGCTGCGCTAAGTGTCCCTGGGATGGGGTTCATCCCGTTTCCCACATAATTAAAGTCCACACTACTACCACTGCTGTACTTACCCGACGGGATGGCCTGCTGTCTCACCACCCCCAGCTTCTTACCAACATTATCATACCCGTCTGTAAAACTTAACCTACTACTTCTCTGCCCCGCACTTCTCGCTTCCTCGCGCTGTCTCGGCGACCTCGCACGCTTCTCCGGCAAGATTGTCTGACCGACGGACGGAGTCTTAGCCCCGCCCAGGAGTTCGTTCCGAGCCTTCCCATGAATCACCTTGTCCCATAGAACCTCGTCGTACTCCTTCTGCTGTCTCTCCTCGCTCATGAGTTCCTCGTTCCAGTTGTCGATACTGATGACAGTGATCTGGCTGCTGGACGGAGTCGCGCCGTTGAAGGTCGGCTTTAACTTGGTTCTCTGCTTGACGCGGAACTGCCCGGACGGTTTTCCTGTGCTGCTCGGAGGGCTGGCGGCTCCCACGTGGACAAAGTTGGGCGGGAACATGTCGTGCCGGATCAGTTTGTCAAACATCACGGGTTGGCAGCCTGACATTGGCTGGGAAATACAACAAACAAATAAACAGGCAGTTATTAACGATTTGTCGCCAATCAACATCAAACTTTCCTAATGTTGCTCTACCAGTCATCTACTCCTAGAAGAAATGTAGAGTAGAGCTCGCTGACACCAAGTACAACTCCTTAAGTTAGACATGCAAAGATTGGGTGTAACAGGTCATCCAGTGAAAATATAGCTAGCTGCCGTAGTGCCAAGTGCCTGCAATGCTGGTGTGTTATGCCTAAGGGCGGTTATACTGGCTATACAGATACAGATACTTACAGGTCTGGGTACTTCCCTCTTCTCTGAGCGTGGTGCCAGGAGCCGTGACCCCGGCCTGCTGACCTGGTCCTCCCAGCACAGCGGAACTCTCTCCATGTCTGTGGAGTTACTACTGCTGTCCCAGTCATCACGGTACAGGTCCAGATGATCCTGCTCACTTCTCCTGAGGAAAAGAACAGAAGAAATATGGTTCTTAAAACAACTGTCGATGAAGATCAGACATCCAGGTAGAACATTAAGTAAAATATTAGATAAATCAAACAACTGGATAGATTTTCTGAGTAGTCTCCACTCAGAAATGAGCTTTTGTTAGAGATATGCCTCAGATAGGATATTAAATGACGTCCTGTGTTTAGGGAGATCAAAAAAGAGAAGAGGCATGCCCCGGCATGCGATGGTCCAAATACATCTATGTGGAAATTGGTGATACACTATATTAAAATCACCCAGATGGAGGCCCTTCTTGTATTAGCCACATGGGGATTTACATCATCACCCCTATATACACAAATCGTGGCAAAGCTGCATTGCGCACATGCGCGCGCACACACACACACACACACACACACACACAGTACAGCTACTAGAGAAAGGCATCCTGAGGATGACTAACTACGACGACAATTTGTATAACATGAAATGTTCAATAGAAAGTTGCCGACTTACGGGGAGTCCTCCTTGCTGCGTGTGCGTACTCGGAGACCGTGTGACATGACCTCTCCGTTGATTCCGATACGAATCTTGTTCCCCTGGCGAAGCTGGTCAGCGATCTTTGACCCCGCATGACCTTCGATACTGTAGTACTCACCAGGTTCTTTGTCTGGAATACAATAGAAGGTGGACAAAAATTATGAGCCAAATGAAATCAAATTTCCTGTTGCATTTCATAACTCTTCTGATGTTATATGAAGAAATCATACATGTGCTATTGTGTATTTTTTATCACCCGACATGCTAGCCCAAATGAATAGATCACCTGATGGATTTTGTTACAGAAAATTGTTTTCTTACAAAAAATAACATCCAAATTTTCAAAATCAGCGCACTTGGAGCACACAAAATGCGTTTGAAATATTCAATGGGACATTTGAAACCCCATGTAATAACCGTTAGAACCCTGTTTGATATGGGTGGTTATCACATGGGCCAGAATACCAATATTAAACATTATCATGACCCAGGTATGACATAAAACATCCTAACTAAACTGCCCCTGCAGTAGTACTACATACCAGTGAAGGCATCCACTACACCCACGTCCTTCTCCTCCTCCCCTCCAGCGAAGGACAGGTAGATTGCCGAGGTGTCATAACCAACCCCGTTCTTCGCCTTGTTCCTCATCTGTTGGAACTTCACGTACCCAGTGGTCGCTCGCGATGGCTGAAGCTCAGATCTGTTCATCTCTGTAAAAGAATACTAACAGGTAAGCTCTAGAAAATGTACGGTCAACTTGCCCAAGCCACCACCTCTATAAGCCAGACATCTGGCCATAAGGGCCACTTTTTCTTGGTTCTGATTTTTTTCCCATTGACGTAAGGATTAAGTCAAACTTTTCTCAACTGACCACATACAGTGTAAAGCACTTAAGAAAATGGTCATACATGTATATAGCAGACAGGAGGCCATTGTAGGCAGGACAATGCTTAGGTCAATGGGAAAGACAATAGGAGGGATCGTAGTGAGCCCTGAAAAGTTTATTTCCTGACAGATGATTATTGTTCCATTATTTGAAACAGAGACTTTAAGTACCTGGTTGCATGTCTGTCTCATTGCCTACATTGTATGTTTCATCCCAAATCCCAAGTACATTTCTTTCCTTTGCTGACAGCTACATGTACATCATGCTTTGTTGTCTTACCAGTTTCTGACAAGTTTTTACTAGTAAGTAGGTACTTAAATTATCTCACCTTTTGATTGGTCGCTGAGGTCTCCTAATGACCTACTGCGGACCCAGGCCTTGTCCACAGGGTCCATCCTCACTCTCATGTAGGCCCTGTCGTCAGGCAGGTCCTTTGGCACACTGGACTTAACTGGGAAACGACAAACCAGGGTACAAAACACTCTTTATTTGTGTTGATTTTATAAGGAAATTGGAGTCTTTTTCATTTATTCATTTGTTTGAAAATTCATGCCTGAAGGCTAATTGCAGCATATAATGTATACAACATAGTATATATGTGAAACAATTGACTATCTTAATCAGAACAAGTGGCTATTCTATTCAGAATACAATCCAAACTTTGAAGCAATGATAATCTTTCTGCTAGTTTGCATTGTAGCCAAAACACATCTTTCCATGACTCAATGACATATTCAGCACCAAGGACAGGACCGGTATGTAATTTTAGTATCAGTATGTGTCAGCAGCAGAGAACAAATGGAAGAACAAACCTACCTTTCCACACTGATTTTTGGCTCCTAAGAGACAGAGAACTCTGTTTCCCTGTCTCCATCACACTTCTAGGTCTCTTCATGGCTGTGGTAAAAGACAAAAATGTTACACTACAACTCACTGTAAAATAAAGCTGGCACAATTGAACATAGTAAAAATAACTGTGTCAGTTTCAAATCAGCAATTTCAGCATGAAAGGCCTTCTGGCCCTTAGAACAGGGCCATTTGTGACATAGTGTAGACAAGGACAAGAATATTAACAAATTGGAAGGTTGTTCTAGCACCAAGGACAGAGACTGTGTATGTATTACCTGGTGTTGTGCTCTGGTTACTGCTGCTACTGGACCGACCACTAGCTATAGCTGGGCCTTCTCTTCTCCCTGCTCCTGCAGATCTAAACAACACAAGACAAAAAGTTTGAAAACCTCTAAATAACATTTCATGAATATGTTGAAATGTCTATAATGAAACATTTAAAAGGCACACTAGGCAATTTCAGGGCAGTAAAACTGAATTTTTAAAGTCAATTTCAGGTCATTTTCTGGTAAGTTGAATCAACCCTATCCCATCCCATCAATGAGGCAAAAATTCAATGTTGCTGATGGAAAACAGTTGCTTGATTTGTATCGTAGGCTGGTTCTACTTCTTGGTGGAACAAAAAAAGGACTCCTCACATGGCTTGTCTTGGGGCTATTTCAAAGCATGAAATGATGTCATAAAATCTTGGAATGGCAGTAACTTTCAATATCGGACTGATCTCTTTATATTTTTTTGTTTTGTCACCCTGAAATTGCATTGGATGCCTTTAACAAGGACTGACCATGTATATCAAGATGTCACGTATGTTTTGAGAGAAAACTTACTTTGTTCCCCTGTTTAAGGCATTGTGCACAGCTCTCTGCTGCTCGTCGATGAGTTGTGAGGCAGACTTGGGTTTGGACAGGTGAGACCTGCGCAGCAGCTGTGCCTCCACACCTGTACAGGTGAGAACATCCTCCGGGGGAGGGGACACGTCCTGGTACTTGTGGTGGAGGTCTCCTAAAGGACGGTTCTGGAGGGAGGGATGGACAAATTGATGATTTAATGAACAACTTGAATGTAATACTAGTAATCAACTGCAATGCATTCATGCCAAATATTGGCTACATTACATTGCTTATACAAGGATCTACAAATATTATCACAAACAATGCCAATTGTCCCTCAGAAATTTGCCCCTCTGAAAGAAGGAGATAATGTCTCAGAGGATTATGAATGTCAAAATTATGAAGGGAGGACACCAGACCTCCTACTGTGGTTATGTCTTTGGGACTTGAGCCATGGAAAGTTATCCTTCTGTATCTGTATTCGCTGTGCTTTTGACAGGTGTCAAAAATAAACAAACAAACAAGTGAAAGTTTCGAATCTGTAATTACCTTGGCATGTTTCCTGAGGATTTTCTTGGACTCCGTGTCCACATGTTGGAAGGCCACCAGACACCTGGCAGCCATGCTGTCGTCCTGATGACTGACTTCAGGTGACACAACAACGTCGGTAGGACATGTTAGCAACGCCCCCCACCCCAGCAACCAACCAACGCTCACACAACGTCTGCTATTCAATGTCAGGGGCGTGGAACGTCAACTACGCCTCGTGTTTCGTGGCCCGATAAGATCGCCGTGAAAGGTTGACCTACGTAGAAAAATAGGCATCGGCGTCAGGATCGCAAAGCATTCAACATGATTGTTACAATGATCGGCACACGGATTATGTTACTGTCAACAAAGTGTTTTGTGAAGATCAAGATCAAGCTATCGAATGTACTTGTCACTCATGGTTTAGACCCTGCTCTGATATAATAGATTCAAAGCCGCAATTATTACAGAACAAAGAGTTAGCATAAGTTTAAGTTTCTGTCAATACAGGGTTTAACGTTTCTGTCAACACAATAATCTTTTTAAGGTGCAATGCACTTGAAAGAAATACTATTTTTGATGTGTCTCAAGTCAATTTTCTCAAAAGACCATGGCTTCTTGGATTCCTGAGATTAATAACTTTTAGTTAGGTTGGTACCTGTAAAAATGTTGGAAATTGGTACAGAGATGCCAAAAACATATATCAGTACTTCAATACCCTTAAGCGTAGTTAATTGCTGGTCACCAAAAAATAATTGAACTCTTTACATAGTTTTTTTTTACTATATCAATTGCTTTGAGCATGACATGATTACAGAAATTGCACTGCTAAGAAATGGCAGTAAATGTCACCATCAGACAGATTTCCTCATCCAGAAAATTTTTTTTTTCATTTTGTTGCCCTGAAATTGGATTGAATGCCTTTAACTGCCTATAGCTAATGCATTGACTATTTGAGATCTGGGCGTGCACACTCAGAAAGTTAAGTAAATGTCTAAACTATTAATCACTAAACAGTGCAAACAATCCAAACTTAATGAAGCAAATTATACAAGTATTAGGGTAACCTGCATTGTTGATATTGCTGCATTGTTGAAGTACTAACACTACTCATTCAGCATGAATTGGATTAATTATAAGCAGCTTGACGTTAAGTCTCTCTCTTAATTCTCTTTGACTAGTTTGAGTCTGTCTAAGCTGGATTAACGCCCACCTGTGTCAACGGGCTTACAGAAAACCTGGCGTCCTAACTGTCAGAAAGTGTACGTACTGGGAGACAGGAGTGACTTTATTTGAACTCACAACTAAAGGTTTACTGATCATTATTGAAGTGGCCATGGGCATGGCAATGACATTGACAGATTTGTGCAGTCAAATTCTCCCACGCATTATCCAAACAACACAACCAATTCCTTTTTCTTCAGAGCTTTCTTACTAGCAATTCCGCAAGATTGTCAAGCAAAGTTTAGCATTTTCAACATGAATTAATTAATCTTTAATCTGAAATCAATGTCTAGACTACTGCACTATGCTTTAACTTACATGCAAGTAAAAGAGCAAACTACTCTTTTAAACTCAAATTCTGATCGATACACAATCGGAAACAAATGACTTCCTTTTAGGCTCATGTTTGGACAGAGATTAAGGGAAGTCAAACAACAAGAGACAAAAAGTTCAAAGCCCAAAATAAGCAAACCTTTTTTGGTCAGATCTTTGATATATCATCATAGACTTCAAGACCCAAAAAGACATTAGGTTGGGAAATCTTATAAGAGAACTGCTAAGATATGAGTAAGAAAAAACTATGCATGTTAAAGATCTAGGAAGCATAGAAAAAAAAAGGAATTTTGTTTCTACCTATTGCTACACTACTGAAACAGTTACCTCTACTAGTACTGGACCTTGGTACTGTCCAGGACCTTAAATATAATAGTTTGTACAGCATTTCTATGTTGCATAGAACCGAAATATCCCAACACATCGCATAGCCAGACGGGTGACTTAGTATGGACATACCTCTCAGCTAGTCTGGTACTCAACTAGTATCACAACACTCCCACTGAATTGCTTGTGCTAACCCCACCTAACACAGCTCTACCTGTGCGAATATCCACACAATCAATTACACTCGTCCAATGTACAAACTAATAAAGACTTTATGCTAACACGCACATACCTGTGATTAAGATAACGCGACGTGAGCGGATAGCGAACCTTCGGTACACACTAGAGTCCTTCTGTTGTCAAGGGCAGGGGACGGGGGGTAGAAACAGATCTACCGCTTAGGATATACCAATATTTTGGACATAAACAAGCTCGCCATGGCAGAGCTTCGGTGTGAATAGCTAAGAAAAACAAGCAGTTGTTTGATCTGTCAATAGTCTCCAGTATCTAAGATGGCGTAGCCTTCATGTTGCCACTGTCGAAGAGAACATACCAACAGACAGCGAGGGAAGGAAAACTTACGTACCGCTGACCTGAGTTTCAAGGAAAATGGTTCTCACAACCGAGGGAGAGAAATTGTCGTGTGTTTTGAATAATTGTTTCAGGCACAAAGCCAGGGGTGTAATATTATCACACAAACCTGAGTGATCGGTGGCTAGGTAAACAATGTGCTGGCCACCAGAATCGAGATACCGCCACCGCCGCACGGTTTACGTTACCTCCATATTAGATTTACCCAGTATACCATGCCAACGTCCACCTGCCGTTGACACACCGACATGTGCGGAATTGTATCGCTTCTTACGCAACCACGGTTTGCAGAATTGACAAAGTGAGAGTGAGCGCAACAATTGAGTCATAAACTAAGCCGAGAAACTCGCCTTGTCCGACGACACAGCCCGACACAAAGGCAAGAGGTGCTTCAATAGCCTATCGCTCTCAAGGATTAATTTCACGGGTCAGCGCGGGAAACAATGGTCGCTTACTTGTGGCAAAGCTGAGAAAGTGGAGGAGTGTTTTCTTAAGACTTTAGGTTAGAATGGTTTATCACATCTGCAGGTTTGCTGTTGTCTAATTTGAGAGTTTGAAGAGCTATAGGCATTTAAAAATTTGGTGAAATGAAGCAGAGTGACATAAATATAGGTCAACTTGGTTGGGTTGTGTGTAAACTTTCCACAACAAAACAAAACAGAATTTCATTGCCACCTCCTTAAATAAACAAACAATGGGATTAGGGAATTTAACTTTGAATCCAAAATATTGCCTTTGTCACAGTTACATAACAGCAAAGCAACTAAGCAGATTTAGTCCCAGGGATACATGTTGTATACAAAACTGTCGACCAATAAAAATAGCAAGAATTAAAAAGTGTATGTCTATAACTGAATAGTTTCCCAACATTTGCTTAAATTGGCCTAAACTTGAATCAACAAAGCTGGAATAATTAACTACAGTTTTCTTAGTTTACAGCAAGTCTTCTGTCTGGACCTTAAGACTTCCTCTGAACTAATAAATTCTTGCCATAGCCCAGTCAACTGTGCCTTACAGTGTTAGTTTACTAATGGTTGCATCTTCTGGTCCATTGATCGCAACCACCCCACTCCCATTGTACTTCCACAATCCTCCCCCAGTGCTAATGTACCTCAAGGGTACTTCATGGACCCCATACAGCCATGCCTGGCTTAGTCTAGTACGCTGCCACGCAAATACAACCACTGCCTGACCAAACATTTTCACTGCAGGACAACCTGGTGTTGTGCTTCAAGTCTTTGAACTGTATTCCTATATACACATGCCAAAATGACATTAACAGCAGAATTCCCAACATTAAAATCTCAACAATATGATCAAACTTTTCAAAGTGAAATACTTGTCAGTTGCATTACACTCTTGACAGTTAAGCTGCTTTACTGAATTAAGACTGATCAGTCACATATCAGTACTAGTCTGGTGGATTGGTTGGTAAAAATCATATTGAAGACACAAAAATAAAAGTGTAGGTACATTGTGTAGTACTGCTAGTCACATTACCATACTTGTGACTCAAGTCAAGTATTTGTATAACAAAGTGCAAAGCAAAGTACAAATGCAAAGCGACCAAGAAATTTGCCAATTAAGTAAACCAATTACAGACTGATTTACAGTTTTTAGTACTAAGATTTACCTTCTGTACATGTGTAAATGTTGGACCTCCTGGGTTGATTTCCCAACAACTTACAAGCCCTTCAGTACCCTATAGACAGTCAAGCATTGTGACCTACAAATGTATAATCTTAAATCATTCGTGTCTTTGACATTATGTCCACTAAATTGTTTAATCCCCTTCACAATGAGGCGTTCCGGTTTTCTGTATAACCTTTTGTTGCTGAGCGATCGGAAAAACACCCCCAGTCAACAGTCCGTCACCATTACTCTCCAACAATATTCAATCAGATTCTCGTTTGTTGAAGTCCGATCAGCCCGAGATCACCGTGTGTCAACAGCTCCAGTCAAACATCTCATACCGTGAACTTTGAAACAGCCAGGCAAACCAAATACCGCGACGTGACTGAATGGTGGAAATTGTGCCTCGCAATTTTTGCGTGAATGGGGGGAAATGCCTTGGTGTACAATCGTTGGCATGGCAACGGTAAACCTGTAATTACATCTTCTCTTGCTACAACAAGTACGCAGCGTGCAATCAGACCACTTCAGCCGTTTGTCCTGTACTTTGCCTTAAAAGCCTATAAACAAAGTAAGCCTCTTGCTAAAACCTAATTACTGTGAACAAAACTGGGGTTGTGTTTGCGGGAAGGGATTACGTGTGCCCTTGTCCTGTACTGTATTGTTGGGGCTTCCTAATGACTAAGTTAATTTTGGTCAGGAATGGGGAGGGTTTTCCCACCCTACGTTGCTGACAGTTAATGTTGGGGTCCATACAATTAGCTTCACTAGTAGTACTACTCAAAATACCACCTGTTTATTTATTTATTTATTACAGTATATCTTGAACAGTATATGCAGGTATATGTAGGTAATATATGCAGAAACAAGTATTTTCAGCTCTGCTACTAGTACTATATATAGTTGCAAAGACTAGTACTTCATGTACCTGTGAAATACTTTAAATTACTAAGTGATAATAATATTATATAGTTTTAACACACTAAGAAGGCAGTGTACATGTATCACTATCAACTCTAGATCTGTGTCTACAGATTCTTAAGTACACCCTTATTAGAAGGAGAGCAGCTATAATCATACTTATCACTCATTGGTAATTACAAGTCAGCCTTGCTAAACACGTCTATCAACACTGTGTGCTATAGTTGAATCATCCAGGTCACTGAGTAACAACACAGTGTCCTAGATTCAGCTACCTAAAATTCTTCTTTTTTTCATTCTTCCAAGTTAGCATTTCAGTAACTGTCAGTACTGCTGAGACAGTATCAGTCAAAATCAGTAAGAAATCAGTCATAATACATGTAATTCTTAGGAAACATCAGTAATGTCAGTTGCATTACAGTCATGATAGTTTAGCTGCTTTACTGAATAGTGACTGAAAGTACACTGTCAGCAACTGATCAGTTACTGACAGTCACATACATTGTATCAGTAATGGTGGTTTGCTTTAGGGGAGTACAGTCAAATTGCACCAAATTATAGCTAATCATCATTATGGGTTCACCACAAAGTGGTGAAACCATATTGCTTTTTCTCATGATTCTCCTCCTTCTTCTTCTTCTCCTGCCATTTCTTTAAATGGATTCAGCTTCTTCATTTGGGGGCCTAAGGACCTGAAATTTGGTATGGAGGTACAGTAGGCAAATACCCCCAGGCGTTTTTTAAATTTTTGTGATACAGGCTTTTAGAATGGTTTTATTTGAGTTTTTTGGCTGTGTTATAGCAAATGTATTACTGAGTTAGTGTGCAGTGTTACCAGATTTGGGCATGAGTCATCACAATGGAATGCAGGGCATCAACCAATAGGCATGCAGCTTTCCTCTATTCTCCTTGCTGATTGGCTGTTGGAATTTAACAGGCTTAACTTAATTAATACCTGCACAGAGCCATTTCATACTGACAGTATGTCTGTATTCAAGTGTTTTGGTAGGTATTTTAAGCTTTCCTGCTCCAGCATTGGAATGCGGGGCATGAACGCTTCTTTTTTCTTGAAAATCAACAGTTTGCATTATGCAATTAAAAATCCTAACCAATAATGTAGGGAATAGCTATCCAACTGTTGTAGTCTTAGTTGTATGTTACTTCATACTATAGTTATATCAATGTAAAGCATTGTTTTCCCTTGTGTTTCTCATTCTTTCCCTGCCATGTCGTAAAATGTGGTGAAGCCATTGCTGTATTTGCTCCAAAGCAAATGTCGGCCTTTCTAGTTAGCCTGAAATTTTTCATCTATAAACAATTGGAAAAGAATCCAATGACTAAGCACAACTACATGCCCTATTGTATAGTCAAAGGATGTACAAAAAAATTCATTCTTTGATTAACAGCATGTTATGAGGATTTTAGCTTAGCAGTCTTCAAGTGCAGTTGACAAGTGATTAAAGAACACAAGTGTACAGGGACTTAGATACAAAAACATGTAGATTGTACAAAAGCTAGTACATTCTATCTCTGGCTTACCATTCTTTGGTTGCCCTATATACAGGTCTCAGACAATCAAACAACATACTCTTGAAGCTAGCTAAAAACAATTAGTACTCTAGCCACTTGTCGAATACCATACCTATACTATATAGCTATCCAAAAGAAACTTTTCCCAACAGAATTAGGATAGGAGGCAAATTTTCTCACCACCATTAGACCATTCAAAAACACAAAATGAAACCTGCTACTATAAGTATAACAACATGAAGAAAATGTTGCTCACTTTAAAAAAAGCATTCCATCGTAAGCTATTCTCTCTTGCTTACATAAGAGCAACCTCCTTTTTAAAGATGTATCAATTATTCATTCCTAATGATGGATATTAAAAGTTGATAATCTACCATAGAGCAAAGTCAGGCTAGTTTTGTTGGTAGGTTTCAAAATCGCTCCATGATCCTAGGATTAAGGGTAGCTCTATGGAGTATTTTGGCATTTCTAATTTTCTATCCAGCAATGATTGTTTACTTTTAAGCTGCTGATTCTTTTAACTGTGCCTCTTTCAGTTCCTCAATTTTTTGTTTGCAAAATATGGACACTGATACTTTTTTTCTTTGAAAGTATTCTCTACTGAGCAACAATATCTTTAATTGGAGATTTCAGTTTCTTACACCAATTTTATAAGAAATGGTCCAGTTGTACCATGTGTATCCTTACCTTGTTGGTACTGTCTGTATTAACTTTTTAGTTTTAGTCAGCTCTAGGTACTAGTATTAAAAAAAACTTACCTTTGTAAGTAAACACAGATAGATCTTATGTTAACAAGTGGTAGTATCTGATTTTCAAATAACCACTACAGTCAATTCATCACAATAAGATTAAGTAATAAAAATTGTATTGATAATCACTATTATACCAAATGCTCTTATCATACCTAATTTGCTCTATACCCCTATGCTTGAAGCACAGACCATACATTTTATGGATGTTTTAATCCCATTAATTAAATGTATACAATCTATACATAATTGTTCCTTGTGGAAAAAGTAATTAATTTCACATCAATCAGGCTATTGTAGAACTTAATGAAACTTTTTGTCAGCCTTGCAAATCAGTGTCAAAACTTTCAAGACAACTTTTCAGAAGGTTCTGCAATAAAATGGACCATGAATTTCATTGCTTCACGGGGCACTGTTTTAGAAGTACAAGAGTACCAAAGAGGGTTTTCAAAAGTTGCTTAATTTGTTGACAGTTTGTGTCATTGCTTTCAGGCTTGTTTTCACGTCTACAACCCCGGGTTTGTTATTCAAGTCACGGTATGCAAGGCAAGATCGTACCGTACAGCAGAACAAAAGTACATCGACTGGGACTTTTGAGCCCTTCAGTTGCCAACACAAATAAATGTCAATGTGCAGGAATTTTGACGTTTATATGCGATTGTGTTCTGATGAACAACGAAAAAAGAGAGTTCTGTCAGAGTTGAAACTTACGTGGTTGTGCCGCTGCAAAAGTTGTGAACGATCGCTCAGCTGACGCTAAAACAATCTGCGATCAGGACTTGAGGTTGGGCAAGTTTATAGGTGATCCAAAAGAATTTTGAGCGCTCAGATCCGGCGTAGGCAATCGCAGGAAGTGAGAGAGTAAGTCAGCGTGTGCTGTGCTCTCCGCTGTCGGCACGACTACACACTAGCGCCCAGCCTTCCCGATTGCATGGTCCCGCGTCACGTTACCCACCCGGTCCATTGATACCGCCAGGCGGTTGCCAGGCGCCGGCGGCACTTTGTTGTCCCACACACCGGTCCAAAGGTGGGACAACAGGTGGGACACCGACACGCCTCCGCCATGACAGTTGACCTTTGACCAGCCTAAATTTTACTAAGCTTTTTTTCGCACTTTCTTTTTCTAGATATAAAAATAGCATATTATTTGATTAATGTATGTTATTTCTGATAAATGACAAAGAATTTTACCTCTTTTTCGGAATTATTCGTAAAAAAATCTTTCCCGCGAGACAATTTCTCAGCCGATTCCATCAGTGCACCCAACGGGGTTTATTTGGAAATCTCGTAATTAAAAATGATCTATTTTTACCATAGTTTCAAAAATAATCTATCATAGTACATATATACATATATTTTAATAAAAGTATTATGTATATTAACTTGTTTTTTTTTATTTTTTTTATAAATACGGAAAATAAAAATTTTACCCTCCCCCAATATCAACTTTAAACAGGTCCGTTTCTAAATTTAGGGCATGACCTCATCCTACATATACCCGAGACGGAAGCGAGGCTGGGACAGATTCCAAACTTCGTGCAGTTTTGACGTGAGAAACTCGTACAATTTCTGGATTTTGCAGCTAATTTCGCAGCCAATGTCTGTGACAGCGGTCACAGAAGGCGAGTAAAGGTAAGCAGATTCCTTTGTGAAATCCTCCAGGTGAGAATTTGTCTAGTTGTCGTGGAATCGACTCATGTACTTTGCACACGCGGCTCCGTACGACTTTTGGACTTGATTTATTTACTCAAAGTTTTAACCGTCGTACTAGCGTTGTGATATGCTATTATAACCAGGTTTTTACCTCAGAATTGTTGAAATAACGCCGTTGTTTACCTGTGTGTGTTGTTCAGGTAATAATCTGATGGATCCATGTCCTGACCGGGCCCCGAGGGACAGTGTAGCGGCGCCCGCCAAGTGTGTTGACGGAAGCCGTGGGGCGCCAACTCCACCGCCGGCCGAACCGCAAAGGTACGAGACGTCGAGGTTAATCATCTTTCCGAGTACATTTTCAATATTTCCTGTATTGCCATCCAGTAAAATTCTATCAGTAGCATGATTGTTTTTCTCAGTTTTGTGTTGATTTTTGCAGTGTTTTTGTTTTGAATTTTGATTAAGCTCGGTACCTCCCCCGCTGTGTGCATGTCTGACTTTCCTATGACTCATCAGCCCGGAATTCCAATCGTCCATTAATTATCAACGGAAGTCGTTAAGATCCCACAACTTTCACACCTTTGTCAACAATTTGAATGGATCTGTTGATGTTTATCATTCCTACGCAGTCAAATAATCAAAATCTTAAACATTTACTCGTCTGATATGACAAAACTAGTGGATGTCAGTTGTGGATTGTAAATTACTTGTACAATGTAATGATCATAGGAATGTCAGGTGAGTCCAGGTAATGGGAAAACCCCTTCCCTCTTAATTAAACAGATATGTATTGATATTGGACACCAAGTTATACTTACAAATGAATGAAAATCTATCTGTACCTCACTATCCATCTTATTTGTACATTGTAATAGATTATGTGTAACAATAATCACCAATATTGAAAAAAAAAGAAATCACGATAATGAATGAGGGAAAAAACACAGAAATCATTATTTGCATACTGAGTATTCATTTGTATTGTCTTTTTAAAAGAATCCATGACATATCCAGACTTTCCTTTTAATGTTAAGAGGCAATAAGATTATTTTATATTACATGTGTATTTATATTTGTATCAAACATTGATTGCCTACCATGCCCAAACTAATTCAAAACCCCAAAATTTACAAGTTTAAATAAATTCAAACTTTCGTCATTCCCAGCATTCGAATAGCTGCCTCGTCTGTGTTACTGGAGGCTTGTCTGGGCGGCTCAGAAATCCGGGAGAAGCTGCGTGGACGGCAACACGCTCTAGCCAGGAAGCAGAAGGGACCAATGGTGAGTAAGGAAAGCTTAATGCTAGTAATCAGTTCATATTCACAGTAGCAAAAGTTAGCAGTCTAAGAAAAATAGACATGATCGTGGAAGTATATATGTTCGCGGTGGCGGCAGGTGCAGCATAAAGAAAGTGGCCAAATTATTTGTTAATGGTAATGATAAGTTTGTGGTACAGAAGTGACCACCAGTGAACAAAAGAACCATCACTTTATTTAACTTATTTTTAAATTACTGTAAATTGTAGGTCATCACTATAATATCAGTTTTGATAGAAAGTAAATTACACGAAATTGCTTGGAAGGTCATTACTTTGACACATACTGATGTTGTGTCTATCGGTTCCTCCCCAGCTTGCCAAGGCCCCAGTTTTTGCACAAGGAGCTGTCCTCCCCCAGGTAGTAGTGGTAGATCCTGAGTCAAACAACGTGGAGAACGCAGAAAACTCTCAGAACTCACAGAACCAGTCTTCGTTTGGAAGCGTGCAGAGCAAAATCCAGTTCTTCAACAAGAGGCACACTCCCTCCCCGACTCCCAGTAACGACCCTAGTGACGTCACGGACGTCACAACCTCCAGTTCCAACAGCAGCGGCGGCCGCTCCACCAAAGTCCGCCGGCGTCGGTCACTGTCCCCGAGTTTCGGTGCCAACCGCGGGAAAGGAGCAAAGGGACCAACCATGCACAAGGTTAGAACGGACATGTGTAACTGTAACGAGGCTCCGTTTCACCGCCCGTCATGTCCGGCGAGAAGAGGGCACAAACTGTTCCGCTCCAAGTCGCACCAGAGTGCGAGCGGGCGCGGGAAAAGCACGCCGACATCCAGTCGCCCGTCGTCGCCCGGGAGCGGACGCGGGACTCCGACGGGCGCCGCTGGTTCGACGGACGAGATGGAGAAACTACAGAAGAAGATCCGCAGAGTGCAGCGCATGAGGCTGTACCTGTTACAGCAGAGTGGACCCAACTCACTGTTGGTGGGCGGGGACTCCCCTGACGACAAGCACCGCGTGCTAATTGGTCAACAGGTGAGTGATCATTGTGTTTGATAATTTGATCCAAATCTTATACAATCCACACATATATTGCCTAAAAATACTAGTTAGGACTGAGTTATCCCTTCTGTTCTTGTTAGTGTGGGTGGTCTGACTTAGAGGAAGTATCAAATATGTATGTAGTTCAAGTGTATCCTGTTTGAAATGATATCTTGACCTATTTCTTCCTATTTTCCTCACTTGGGAGGTTGACTTGCCTAAGGAAATGTTAACCATGTTTTTGAAGTCTAACATTTGTGCACCTGTATCCGGTAGTAACATGCCTGAGGAAGTGTTTTTGAAGTCTGCCATGTGACATGTATTTGTACTAGTTCCAATCTTGACCTATATCTTGGGAGGTTGATTCAACCAAGGAAATGTTGATGGTATTTGTGAAGTCTACTGTTTCTAGTGTAACAGTTGGGTTCAATTGTCACCAGCTGGCCAGTCTGGACCTTTTAACCTTGCGGTTAGTAAGTAGTGCATTGGTTTCGTGAGTAGACAGCTCTGATTCGGTGTGGGTTCGAATCCTGGGAGCGAGTTGCTTCAGTAGCTTTGTGTTTCATTGGTTCCCAAACCGGGAATCGAACCCGGGCCTTGGCGGTGAATAAAGGGCAAGTAGTGCTCCTGGGATTCAAACCGGTGCCAAACCCAGGACACCAGCCATGAACCTAACACACTAACCACAAAGGCACAAGGCTAAAACTAAAGTTTCAGACCAATTAGACTGGCCAGTTACTGACGTTTGAAGTGGTTCCCCACTGTTACACTATAGTTACTCACCATACATGTCTGAGGAAGTGTTTTCGAAGTCTGCCATGTGAGATGTATTTGTACTAGTTAGTCTACAAACTGACCTGTATCCGGTACATGTGGTTTTCCCCAGAGCTGCAGCTGCGGGAAACACATGCCGTGTGTGCACCTGCTGTTCATCATGCTGCGGGTGTTCCAGGTGGCCGAAACCAACCCCCTGCTACAGAGGAAGACACTCAGGAACTACGAGGTATGTGGGTGGGGGGTATTTTTAGCTTCTTCATTAAGTGAACTGTGGCTGTATAATGTGTAGGGATCCTAACTAAAACTGTTGTTTCTAGAAAAGTACAGTAGTCCAATAAGTAGAACCATTATGAGTATGCTTTACATTTTATAACTTAAGCAGGGCTTGTGCATATGCTACTTGCATTGGTCCATGTACTGGGCATATGCAGGTTAGTGCAGGTATTTCTGTTGTCTACCTGCACCAAACCTGCACTGGTCCATGCCATGTACTGGGTTTATATACAAATGTATGTGTTTGTGGATTTTATTTGCTCGATTGACTGTTACCACCTACATAAAAGAAATAATGGAAATGGTTTCTAAATAGTTTTAAGAATGATCCACACTTCCAAAAATGATATAATAAGCCAACATCTACTTGGCTTGTGAAGATAATTTCTGTGTTGCCCTTTTGTTCCATGCATTCCACAACTATTCCTAGTGATGTCCTATTTTGTATATAGCACATTCTTTTCCTCAGGCATAATACATGTACAATAGACCTCCACTATAACATGGAGTCCACAGGGTACATATAAGGGAATTTCAGTGATAATAAGCTTAAGAGAACATGTAAAAGATGCTGAGGGCTTACTGTTTAAAACAGTGCAGACAGTTTTTGTCTTAGTTGAAAATATTGATAACTAGTAGCCATTTTTTCTTTGTCAACAAAGAGTGGAAAATACTCACTAAATACAACTTTCATTTTACATTGATGACAAAAAGCTCAAACACTAAATAATAACAGCATATTACATATTATATGCTGTATATTATATCATTGTCATTTTCTAAATGCATTGTAGACAAACAAGAATTGCATTTTTGACATGTAGCATTACAAGTAAATATAAAGACTTAATAGCCTAAATCATAGCTCCATGACAGTTATAGTTTTCCCAACAAAATTAAGGAATCCAATTTCCACTATGGCTGTACTTGTTTCCCAAGAGAAGTAATCATATCCTCTCTAACCAGGGACAAATCCTCGTTTAGAACCGTGGGTGGAATAGAATATGATGAGGGACAATTTTCGGAATTCTTGAAAACCCAAGTAGGAAATGCATGGGGATGTGGTTTCAGGAGAGGCATGTTGGGTTGACAGGCCGTATTGTTCACCAGGGAGTTGGTTTGTAGACACAGTTGGTTCCCGTCCTCTTCAAACTCTGGATGGGAAATTACCCTCATTTTTCCACCATAACATAACAGGGTTGGTTTCAAATATTTACGGGGAGTGGGGCAGCAACTTGTGTTCAATACAGTTTTTAGGTCTAGAAAACCAAACTTTTGAAAGTCAATATTCTGGTACTTATCTACATGCTAAGTTGAAACAACACTATCCCAATTTATATCGACATTCATGGAGCAAAAATGAAGAAAACTGTAAAAGAAAATGGTACCACCCAGAAAATAAAGGCATCTTGGGCCTGTTTTAAGTATAAAATGGTGATGTAAAAGTGCTATTAAATGTGGGGCAACATGTCCTAATATCGTACAGTTTCCCATATTCAGATTATTGCAGTTTTACCATTTCTCTTTTATGGAATAGCCATTTAAGTTCATGTTCATACAACCATTTCTAGGTTTGAATGTTGGCAGTCCTTCCTTAAGTTCTGTATATTCAAACACATTAGCGTGACACCAAACAGTACACACAGTTTCCGGGGTGGGCTCGATAATCCCAGCGCTATAAATGGGCTACCGTGTGAGAAATAGCGGAAATCTGACTTGACCCACGTAACAGCTGTCCCCACATCTGTACCAGAGCCCTGCCCACCACTCAAAGAGGGCCTGTCATGCCCAGTTAGCTGTTCAAGGGTTCAAATAGTCTGGATTGGATCCTTGTTAGTGTAGTTGTGGGGTTATGGTGGTGTGGTGTGGGAGAGTGCAGGTGTTTGTGTGTGCTGTACTGTGTGATCTTGTACCATACAAGATTCACATGGTTTTGAACTTGAAACACAAAGACCTCACCAATTTGATTTGTTGGTTCTCAGATTTTTTCAGAAAAGATACGAAGCAACAGATTTTTCTGTTTTCGTCAATGCGTTAACAATGCGCATATCTTGATGTTTCAGGTGGAGAGTCTTTTCAGGAACTTTGAGGCCAGGAAAAGAAACCGTGTGTGGCGGAGACGGCCTCCGCAGACACCCAACAAGGCCGAGGATGTGGCTGAGTCTGATGGTGCTAAACCGGAAGAAGAGACCTCTGGTGATGAGAAGAGGTACTGCAAACAGTTTGTTCTTTCATACAAAGTCATATAGCTGGGTGACTATCAAAAAAAAATATTACAAGAACTGTAAGGAATTGTTATCAACTATTTCCAGTTGGGAATTACATTTCTGGACAGTAGTTTTTTTATTTCACAAAGTAGAATAAAATTTTGGGGTGCATCAAGTACATGTACCCAGTATTTCGAGCCCTGTTACATGTATTGTTTGTGTTTTTCTTCCAGAGTAAAACCAGAAGATGACACCTGTCCCATCTGTCTGTTAGAGATGGTGGATGGTGAAAGTCTGACGTCGTGTGATGACGGCTGTAACAACCAGATGCACCACCAGTGTGTGGCTGTCTGTAAGTACACATTTACTGTAAATCACTTTACGTTCGTGTTAGCAAAAGTTTGCGGTCTAACAAAAATGGACATGTTCACAGAATTATATGTGTGAGGTGGCAGCAGGTGCAGAAAAAGATGGCGTGATTATTTGTTCACGTTAATGATAATTTCACAGTACACAAGTGACCCCAAAAACCATGAATATAAAAGTACTTTGAAAAAATTACAGTACTTTCTCCAACAACTGAAAGCAAGTTAGCCTTTTTTCCATTTTTGTTAACAAGAAGGAAAGGAAATACCATTGCCCAAAGAATTTTTACTCAAGGATTTAGTGATCATTTACATGTAATGTTTTGCTGATATGAGTTGTTGTTTTCTTTTCTCCCCAGGGGCTGAAGCCTGTAAGAGACAAGGAGATGCCTTCAGCTGTCCTCTCTGTCGGGCAGTCTGGACAGAGGAGGGAGAAGGGTAAGACTCAAACTTCTAGTAAAATTACAGAAAAGTTACAGCTGTGCAAATGTTTCATCTTTTTTTAATTGCATTTTCATCATGCTCCATAATGTGAGAAACAGGAGAACATGCCAAAAGAAAAGCATCTATAAATCTATTGGGTAATACTAGTACTAGTACATATGTGGAAGAGAAAAAACAACTTAGTACAAATCTAACTTACATAATCTTCACTGGACTACAAAGAGAAAACAGAAACCACATAATACAATTGTCATGATGTACATTATGAAAATGAACAAATTTTAGAACTCAAGTTTTTAACTCGGTTGTCTTAAAATTCAGTTATTTTAGCATTAGTGAGTGATCCCATACATGTTGCTGCCATCTGTCCGCAGGGTTCAGGACGAAGGTAGCCAGGCTCCACCCAACTCCCGTGCCCCGTCCCCCGTACACCCCCTCCCCGGGGAGGGGGTACACCTGCCCCACTCTGAACCCATCCCCCCGGAACATCGCGACATGGCCGCACCATGGATAGAGGTAACAGATCACAACTCGTCTCTTCTTTATTTGTGTTTTCATTGATAATAGAACTACACAACCTGAGAAACAACCCGAAATCTAAAAAAAAAAGATACAGGCTACCTACTGACCCAGGACAGAGACTGGAAACAGGTTATTTTTCCTAGGCTTTACTTTTGTTTCTTTTTACCTGGATGTCTAACCTTCATAGATGTAACACATCTTCTGGTTTTTATTGCACTTCTCAAAGTTACAGTATAGCAGAACCCCTTATGAGGTGCACTGTCACTTATATACAAGCTATTTGAACACTAAAAACACAAACCTCTAGGATCGCTAACCACATGTACAATGTAACAGCTTTTATTAGAATAATACACTATAATACCTACTTTTCCTGATGTCCTGCAGTTGTTTGGGTACAACCTTGTGAGCTGCCTGTTCTCGCGTGACTGGTCAGTACGTGAGGCGGGGTTGATGTGTCTGTCCCATGAGGTGGCCAGGAGGCTGATACAGATGGAGGAGGATGAGGAAGAGGAGGAGGACCCTGCTCAGTGGACATCTGTCCTCAGGGTCTGCTGTAACATCCTGGCCATGCTGTGTAGGGATCCTGTCTATAATGTCTATGTCGCATCACTGGTAAGCAAAAATATCACTATCAGTGTTCTAGCCAGCATCTGTCTTTGTCATTTTTTAAAACTTTGCCGCTCATGATAAACGAAAATTTTGCCCAATCTGTTAGCTTGACGGACATGTAAAAATAAGGAAAGATATGTCATTAAACTAAGCTTAGTCTACCAGCAAAATGCCATTGCTAAGCTTTTACCGTGATAGTAAGTCGTGTGTACAAGTTAAAATGCTTTCTGTTACTATAAAGTATGCTGCGCTCAAGCAACAGTTCTGGTCAACATATGTAGCATATATTGTAGAGGAAACTGTAAGCTTTTGTGTCTCACCCGGTGATTTTTGTTTCTCTACATACAGAGAAGTCTGCGGGACATGTCAGCGTACACAGTGTGTCGGACAGAGGACCAGGTCTCATGTCTACAGGACATGCTGAGGCCTGTGGTTGATGTCATCCTCATCAAGTGTACTGATGGAGCAAAGAATAGAAGAAAGTAAGTGTTACAGAGTCTTGTGCTTAAGAATACATCTAATATCAATTCTGTGATAGTACATTTTGGTAGTACGGACACTGCATGAGCAGTAAGTAGAAGAAAGTGGGATTTACAAAATTTTGGTCTTAAAGAATCAAGACAGATTAATAGAAATTGGAAACTAGGAAAGTCTTGTCCAGGGCATTGACTTTATTTGTTTGGAATGCAAAAAGAGGAACAGAGCAAAAATTATATGTTTTCCTTGTACGATATAAACATATATAATGACTAATTAATTTTTTCTCCCCATAACTAGCCGTACCTGTCAGCTGTCCCTGTCCACTCTCCTGGAGCTGGCTAAAGGCCAGGATGGCGGGCTAGCGACGGCCTCGGAGCTGCCCCGTGCCGAGTCCCTGGCCGTGGGGGACCTCCCGTTCCTCCTGTCCTGTATCCTGGCCCCTCCCCCTGCCGACGCAGCCTGGCAGTACTTCCTCGGGCGACTCAACGTCATCGAGAGAATCATCGAAGACTTCCCCAACCACTTTGTCCGGCAGGGCAGCCAGTCTCCCCGCAGTAACAGCCCTCCTTTTGACACAGAGCCTCTCGCCTCTGTTCTATCCTACGTGTGTGAATGCGTCAAGAGTCCACACCCCAAACTGGCCAAGCAGTCAAAAGATCTCTTCCTCAAGATAGCTCGCTGGGTGTCGTCTGTGCCTTCTGTCTTCAAGTACATCTTCAGTATCCTGAGCACGTACACCTCACGGCGCCACACTAGTCTGATGGAAAGTCTCCTGGCTCTAGCCGCGGAGCTGGGGATCAGTAAAGACTGGCTTCTCGCCTCTGTTCCTACCAGCCCCTGTAAAGCTCCCAAGGAAACCCCGGCTGGTGCGTCGGCTGACTCCACTCCGTGTGTCACCCCACACTATAACACACCTTCTACATCACCCGGCAGTAGTGTGGATATACCAGCACCCACACAGGCAGGGCCGCAGCCTGGTACTGGTCCTGCTGGGGTGTTAACACCACCCCCCTCTCCCGTACACTCAGCAAGATCACCACAACCAGACAACAACAACACAGAACAGAGTCACACAGGTGGGGAGGGGGGCAACAATGATGATGATGATGAAGTGCAGAGAGAAAACCGCGAGATTATGAACGGCGGGCACCACAACAACCAGTGCCACAACGCCGAGCAGCTGACCGTGGTCGCGGCGGGACAGAACGGACTGAGAGTGTCCTTCGAGAGCGAGGTGGCTCCGGGCTTCTCGGCCAGCAGTACCAAAGTCCTTGAGGGAGGGCCTGTGGTTTACTCCACGTCCTGTAAGGAACAGGTGGAGGTGGAGGAAGCCCAGGCATTGGCTGTTGCCATGGAGATGTCCACCCTTCCTCAGCAGGCCCTTCCCAGAGTTCCTGGTCTGACCAGGAGGACGGAGGAGAAGGAACTCATCATCCATGTGCAGCCCAAGGTAAATTAGGGCTGCTTATAACTCGGATAAGTTTTCCTGCAGGTACAGAAGGTTTTCATGATACTACAATGTTGTAAAGCACAGTGTGTAATCATATGCAGAGCTCGAGATACTCAGGCTGTTTAATGAATAGATATGAATAAGTTGGCCCTGGCAATGCAGAAATTTAGAACATTAAACGTGATAAGATCTTTAACTTATTTATGGCTGCTTTGTTGTCCAGCACCTGAAGGGTGGGAAGCAGGGTGGTGCGTATAAGATGGACCAGCAGTGGCTGAAGGGGACCATGATCGGTACAGGGGCCTTCTCTACATGTTATCAGGCACGTGACGTACAGACTGGCACGCTCATGGCATGTAAACAGGTAAGGACTCTACTGTTTATTATATATAATTCTTTGCATTACTTTTCCAAATCATACAGAATGACCAGAAAATTGACTGAAAATCCAGTTCTGCCACCTGAAATTGCATTGGATGCCTTTAATTGCAGAACTGCAAAACAGTTATATAATAAGTAGAACACAAGTAAGAAAATGAACCCATGTAAACTTTTGATCTTGCACAACTGCTATATATTAGTATTTGTCTTTTCATTCTTTTTCTATTTTGTCAACCTTGTATCTAACTGTCCTGTGGCGTAAAATAAAACAATTTAAGATTCATCCATTCTGTATCAGTATAGCCGGTATATAACTGCGCTTCGGCATAACACATCTGTTTCTCAGCCAATCAAAACTGCTCGTTTGTGTTCCAGGTGTCGTTCTGTCGTAACTCTCCGACGGAACAGGAGAAGGTTGCAGAGGAGATCCGGGGAGAGATCCAGCTGATGGCACGGCTGGATCATCCCAACATTGTCCGAGTCCTGGGGGCCACACAGGAGGGAACACACTTCAACATCTTCCAGGAGTGGATGCCAGGTAAAACTCCTGTCACACATAGCGGAATATGGTCTCCCAAACACTACCAAACTCCCCCAACCATGGTTAGCAGTAGGTAAAGCCCCTGTCACACATAGTCGAATATGGTCTCCCAAACACTGCCAAACTCCCCCAACCATGGTTAGCAGTAGGTCAAGAGCAAGGTTGGCTAGTACTGTTCAGCAACGCCAGCCAAATGTTTCAAAATGTTTAATACGTTCTGGTGTGGAAGAGAGGTTCAGCCTTAGTTGACTGGCAGCCATTTGGGAGTAGGTCAGCAGTGGTTGGCAAATTTGACACATAATTAACTTAAATTTGATTCAAATTTGCAAATAAAGGTACATGTAGGTGTGGCCTAAATCTGGTCAGACTCCTTCCCAATGTCATCAAATCCCAAACTTCATCAGACTCAAAGATAATGAATGAAAGTATTTGGAACATTTATTATAAGGCCAATGAAATGCTGATGATAAAAATGTTGCACATTTTTTATTGATGACTGACATGCTGCATTTTTCCTCTATTCTGCTAGGGGGCTCTGTTGCTGGTCTGCTAGATCAGTATGGAGCTTTTTCAGACACGGTCATCAAGAACTTCACCCGGCAGGTCCTCTTGGGTGTGTCTTATCTCCATGACAACTGCATCATCCACAGAGACATCAAGGGTAAGAGAGAAAACCGGTTCTCTTCAGAAATTCTTCAAAGATTATCTTATGTATCATGTTGTATATCTAGAGAATACTGAATTAACTTCAATTTTACGTGTAACCAAGAAAAAAGTATTTCGGTTCCTGGGAAAGATGTTTCCTTATGTTGATGTTCTGGTGTAATTTTCCTCAGGAGCTAACCTGCTAGTTGACAGTACAGGGACCAGACTGAGGATTGCTGACTTTGGGACAGCAGCACGGCTGGCCACCAAGCTGACAGGAGCAGGGGAGTTCCAGGGACAGCTACTGGGTCAGTACTGTACACAGAAACTCCCAATTTCTTATTTCTTCATCTTCTTTAGCCAGAGTGGCTCATGATCACAACTGGACAGTAGTGTCACTCACTGATTTTCAGACAGGCCTTGGAAAGACATTGCAGCTGCTAAAGTACATGTCTTTTTAAAAAATCTTAAAAAACAAGGCAAGAAATTGACTACATCAGGCCCTCATATATTTTTATCATTTCTGACTTTGACTATTATAAGGATCCCAAAACAACCAAGACAAGCTGTAGAAACATCATGTCCCAAATACAAGAAACAACTTTCAATTTAAATTTCCCTTAACTTGTCTTAGAGTTGGTTGCTTGGCTTTAATGGAACTCTTCTTTTATAAACTGAATAAAGTTAGGTCTCAAATATATTCTAACAGCTTTGAAAAGAAAGTTCCCTACTTTTCTAGTTTTGGTTGCCTGTCTTAGATCTGACTCCTTTTGATATCCGAACATCCCAGTAATAGCCTTGTTCCTGCCTCCTTAGGCACCATTGCCTTCATGGCACCGGAGGTCCTTCGTGGGGAGCAGTACGGGCGCTCCTGTGACGTCTGGAGTATCGGCTGTACCGTCATCGAGATGGGCACAGCCTCCCCACCATGGAACGCCAACGCAGTAGACAACCATCTGGCGCTCATCTTCAGGGTAGGTCCAAGGGTTTTGTAAACTTGATATTCTACTAATTTTGTTAATCATGTTGGGCTGCCTGCCTGGAATAATTCCACTTTGCCATTCCAAGTATCTCATGCCTTTAATGGTGTTCTTTAAGTTCTTTTATTACCTCCATGAGAAAGTTGCGTGTTAATTGTTCTTGAAGGGTTTTTTTTTTTAATACATGACCTCCTTTATAGCTGACAACTGTGTTATTTCACTTGCACGATAAAGAAATACTTGTAGACACAATGGTGAATGAGAAGAGGACACAGTCACCATCACACAAGATCTAAATATTCCATGGAGGTCTGATATCTCCGAATTCTTGTTCTTTGAAGGTGTTTTGCTTCTCAATACATGACCTCCTTGACAGTCGGTGTTGTTTCCCCTGCACAATAAGAAAGACTTGTAGACACAATGGTGAATGAGAAGGGGACACAGTCACCATCACACAAGATCTAAATATTTCATGGGGTGTCTGAATACTTGTTGTATATGCTTTAACTACCAGAATGAAGAGATTTATTGTTTTGAACGTTAAGAAAGAAAGGTTTGTGACAGGTTATATTTCCTCCCCAGATTGCGAGTTCCAGCGAGCCTCCACCGCTGCCACAGAACTTTTCACCCGGACTGCGAGACCTGGTGCTGAGGTGTCTGGAACAGACCGGATCAGACCGGCCGTCCACGCGGGAACTGCTACAACACGCTGTCTTCACCGCTTCGTGAAAACCACGGGAATCTACACAGATTGGTACAACTGTGGAAATCACACTTCTCAATTCCGTGACGTGATTTTGGAAAAAAAATCTGTGGAAAGAGAAAATCGTGAAGTGACAAGCTAGTAAGAGATGGAAGTTCGAAAGGTGCTCTATCGACTCCGTGTTGGAAATATTGTTTCAGCCATCTGGTTTGTTCAGAGTCACTGAGGAGTAGAATTTTCAAGAGGCCTAGAACTAGGAACTAAAAAGCAATATTCAACATGGTGTGTAATACTTACAACTGGAATGTAAGACTAAAGAACGCCAAGTCAATGGCTTTGAGGAGCTAAGTTAGGACCAGAAGGTACAGGGTTCGAGTCCTAACATAGATGTTAGAAGTAGAACCTCTTTGATAAGAGGTTTGTTTCACTTGGAAATGACTGTCAAATTGTAGACAGTTTTTACATGCAATGTAAACTACTACTTTTAGTGTGTTTTCATTCTCTACTCTGAGAAAACAGTTGTTAAGTCTAGCATGTGATACAGAACATGTTAGGAGAATCAGCTACTGTGTCGGCTACAGTTTGAACAGGTTGACCCTGTTGTTTTGAACAGACTGGTCTGTTATTCTACACAAAAAATTGACAGGACCCTCCACCAATCAGCTGGTTCCATTTTTCAGACGACTATTTTGATTGGTCACATACATGTACAAGGCTGGGTCCTATTGGTCACCCGCTTGCCACTTCATTTCAAACCTTGCCAGAAACCACTGGGCCCTTTCAGCCAATCAGCTGCATGGTTCCATTTCTGAGAGGATCATCTTGATTGGTCACATACAAGGCTGGATCCTATTGGTCACACCCTTGCCACTACATTTCAAACCTTGCCAGAAACCATAGAATAACAGATATCTGTCACCAAAAACTACAATGACACAAATACAAGTAGCTGCTTTATAATGGTCATTAAAGCAGAGCTATGTACAAGTACTGTATAGGCAGTATTATAACCAGGCCACTTTTAATATCATACACAGCAGTTGTATGAATATTACACTGATGTTGCCTTCATTTTAAACTTCAGATCCAAGGTAACCATCTTAAAAAAATAACCACCGTAAAAAAATGTATACTAAATGGAAAGCTGGACTTTCTGTTGTGAACTATGGTAACTAACACATACCTATGGTTTAATCTGTAATATGCTGTGCAGGGTTCAGTATTGTACTGGCATACTTAATTGCAGTATTTGAAACCAAGAAAGCAGAGCTTTCTTTTATTGGCAATTTTCTTATTCTTAAGGATAAGTGGTCTTAATTTTGCAAGGATTACAGTGTGACAGAATTTTGTTTTTCGTAAAGAATTGTGGAATGTGTTAAGGATTTTGTACTCTTTTCAATCTGACAGCCATAAGATTGTACATTCATAGTCCCATAGATTAGTGTGTTTTGTTCCTGTATTGGTGAGTCAAACTAGTAAGCTTTTCTGAAGACTGTATAGCTTTAGTTAGTTTGAGTTATTGTTGTACGTAACCAAACTTTTCTAGTTCACAAAGCTTCTGTTAGTTGCATTTTAAGTTGACTGTTTAGATAGGGTTGTTTTGCTCTTCTAACATCCAGTTTAGAAGATACAAGAAGGAAGCTTTATGAGACGGTATGTGTGTGTTGTAACTGCAGAGCAGTCAGTGGGGAGAAACTGTTGAACAGTTGAGCTACAGGAATGGCTCTGTGACAAGTGGACATGTCTCAATCAGGATACAGAATAAATCCTCTTTATCTATGACTTAATGTATTGTCTTTTGTGCGTGTGTTTTCTATTATATGATATGAATCTTGCATGTTCTTGCCCAGATGGGCTAAATGCACAAGAGGACATGCAGTATGCAGAACATGAGTATTGCATACTGGGACGATATATTCTAATGCTAATTGCTAGGAATCTATACATTATAACAATACTATATACTACCTATCATCTACTGTTAGTTGCCCTTCTCTCTTTTTGAAACATTTGGAAACATAATTACATACTTTGCTATACATTTGTTCTTGCATGACATCAAGTGTTTAAACGTGTCCTGCTTTGACATTTATATGACTTAAATGACACTGAAGCCACACCATTTTTGTGGACTTGTAGGACTTTATCTGCAATTAAAATTATTATGTTACATGATTCAAACAAGTAAAATTTCTTTGCACTGAACCATTCCTATTCTTGTTGAAAAAAAATATATTTTTGACCATCCAGATAAAAGGGATATTGTGGTAGCCTGGCCTGGCAGGCACCCAGGTTTTTCCGTAAACCCTATTACTTTTTCTTAATCCTCAGAAAATGCATGTGACTTGATGAAATAAAGATCTTGTTGATATACAGGCTTCAATTTACTATATTCTGTATATATGTACTAAAATACACCAATCCCTCGCTTTTCCATGGGTGTACTGTTGTGCCAAACAAAGCGTGTGGTACAGTTTGCACAACTGCAATACTTAATACATGGAACTGATGGTGAGTTCAGCACCAAGGAGATATCCACACTCGCAATGCCCATTAACAAATGGAGGGGGGATAAACAAATTTGGGAATATAAACACTTGCTGTGGCAAAAGGTATCCTGATCGTTGGGTTTGGCACGGAAAACAAGTTCAAAATTGGGCGACTAGAATAATTACTTTTGATTGGTGGCGGAAAGTTGACGGTTAATTATCAAGAGCGATGATGATTAATCCCGTTCGCACCCCTATGCAATTATCACACATGGTATGGTCCGTTCGACCAGCTGCAGGCAGCAAGCTAGTGTGACGGCGCTTTTGTGCCGCGTGGTGTGTGTGAATTGTCTCCAACTTTTGGGGTAAATTTTCGTCTTTTGCCCACAAATTATCCGTCTAAAGTGTAAAGTATATCATCTGGACGTTTCCATGTCCTATATGTGTGCCGTTCTTTGGATGTTTGAGGGAGAAAATTCGTATTTTCCTGGCGCTGGCGGGCGGACTCGGTTTGCAGACGGGGAAAATGAAAATGGCGACTACCATGGCGGTGTGACGCGCCGGATTGAGTACTTAGAATGCTCCATACATAAAGTCGTAGTAAGGTCACGATACGTCAAATGAGACCATACAATGTATCTCCGTAATCAGAAAGGTACAAAGAACCTTGTGTAGTTCAAACAATGACTTCAACTTATACTGGATCCACGGATTAACGCGTCAAAGTTCGCCCTTACTCAGAATTTAGGCGGTTTCCGCCATGTTGTTTTTGACTGAAATACGTACCACATGGGGGTTTCGTGGCACCCGGTTGCGCATCTGTTTCCGGGTCACACCAGGGGTCACACTATCGAGTACACTGTCAGACGACGTGGAGTAGTACTCGACAAATTACGAGATTTCATAATTTGGATGTTTGAACAGCAACATACGACTGATATACAGTCGAAACAATGCATACATTGCTTTGACATTGTGTCATACCATTGACACAGTTTTGGACGGAAAAGTATTTTAATTTTAAGTAGGTGAACATGCAGTCTAAACAGTGCAAAGAAAACTATGTGTTATACGATTGACACAAGACGGAAAAGTACTGTGTTATAACTGCGTGAATATACAATCTAAATAGTGTAGACTTAAGTGTGTCATACCATGTGCATCGACAATGTGTTAGGACGGAAAACTGTTCCTCTATGAAATTAGTGCGCGACTATTCAGTCCAACATTGAAAGTGTACTGTGTCATATGATTGACACAGTTTTTGGAAGGCACGTTCTCCATCATAATTGTGTGCATGTGCATGAAACGTTCAGTGAATATTTTTTTTTATTGAAACATATAATGACAAGACGCGGTACGTGGCGACACACTCAATTTACCCTTTTCCTTCCGATTTTCGGACGGAAAAGTTTCCCGTCATAAGTATGTGAACATACAGTCTAAATAGTGAAGAATTTTAAGTGTGTCATACCTTTGACACAGTTTTTAAACGGAAAAGTCTTCCGTCATAACTGCGGGGATATACAGTTTATGCCCATATATACCCAGATATACCCACCCAAGTACCCACCCACCCACATACACACTGTACCCACCCACCCACGTACCCACCCACCCACATACACACTGTACCCACCCACCCACGTACCCACCCACATACACACTGTACCCACCCACCCACATACACACCCACATACACACTGGTACCCACCCACCCCACGTGCCCACCCACCCACATACACA